CAACGCCTCAGGTTTTAGGTCTGGCTGGAAAACGTGTGCATTTGCAAACCCCGCATAATAGGAGTTAAGAAAACCTTGATCACCTGATAGAAAGAGAAGCAAAAAATTATGAAGAATTTTGAAACAAAGAAACATTTGCCATCAAAATATCACTAACACTGAAAGCAGTGCTGAAAATTGGAGAGGTGCACACATTCTTCTTGCAGTAATAAAGAAGAAATCTTCAAGTTTAAAAGGGATGATATGATGGCTTGCAACTGACATGCATTATACACTAAAGAATCAAGGCAAATTCAAAACATCCTTTCACGTCCTCCACCCACACTTGACATTCTATTCAATGTATTGGTCATCCATACCATAAATGTAAGGATAAAAATTCTACATTTCTGTCATTCACACAGTAAATTTCTAGACAAAAGTTCAAGTTCCTGAATAGTAAATACTAGGAAGAAAATAGATAAGACACTTGTGTGCTACAATATGTACAAGGCGTCATCCAAAACCTCAAAAGAAAAATCTCACACAAAATATGGCATGTACGTGCAATAATAGAACAGAAACATAAACACCAAAAAAATTCATCCAGTAAATCAAAAGTAGCTGATTGGTTGGTTGACATTGTACCTCCAGTGTAAGAAGGCAAAGTGTTCACTTGTCTCATCATATCCTTAAAGACTTCTTCAGATGGTTCAACAACCATGACTCCCGAATTCAGCCTCTCTGAGTGTTTTAGGTTAGCACAAAACTTCCTGCATTTGAATAAATCGTCGATGTTCTTAACAACGATGGTATCAGCATCAAGATACACCACTGCAAATGAATTAAAAGACAAGGTAAAACACCAATTGCTCATCAAATATGCCTGGAAATTAATATGTTCAGAATCCTAAAGTGTTAGAAGGGAGCGAGAAGCTAAAATTTCTCAACAGCAATTATGTATTACATGAAAAACAGGTAAAAGAAATCACCTTTCTTGTACTTAGTCATGTTAAATATTTTTAGCTTGGTGTAAACGCCCCAGAACCGCTTAGGTCTCACTTGATTCGGATTTGCCAATAAACTAATTTTCTCTACAATCCAACCATCAGCCTGCACAAAAAGAGGTAAATGAGACTTCAAGTAATTACTTAACTTCAACAGATCAATCTACTTAAAGTTTCATTATCCTCGCATCCAAAGCATTTCAAGGGACAACAAGAAGACTGTGCACAAGGAAATAATAGCACATAAATCAAGCAATTCAGGCACTTGGAAACCCGTTATGCTATAAAAAGTGTTCAACGACCCCCGTTTTTGCCTTCTTACCAATGTACTCTTTTAATCACTCAAGCTTCATTTTCTCATTAAAAAAAAAAGTGATCTTGATTAGCCCAAATTACCAGAAACTCACCTCCTTAATATAAAACAGAAAGTATGCTGCTAAACGTGATATCTATGTACAATTACCTCATAATAATCCTAATTAACCATTTCCTGCATGTTTGCTCGAATGCTCAAGGTGCATGAATTGGTTGTAAGTAAGATGAAATCTTATTATTAATCGGCACGTACCTTAAGAAGCTTCTTGGCGTAATCGGAGACACCATCGGAGACCAAGACGACCATGTCTTTCATGGATCCAGTGTCCCTGATGGACTTCCCAAGCACCCTTACCCCCAGTAAGAATTCATCTCCGTACAGAAGCGTCACGTAGGCCTCCCCCTTGGACGACGGCAACGATCCCAAATCGCCTTTTTCTCCTCCAACGACACCATATAATAACCCAATCATCCAAATTCCCAGTAATAATTTACACATACTGATAATCCTCGCCATATATATATTTTGTGTGTATATATAAGCAAAGGATATCCAAAATTCTTTCCTTTCCTTTACTTCCCTCCCTCAAGAAAGTATTGAATTACAAGACGATACTTTCCATTTTCGGATTGGGCTTTGGGAGAGGAACTTGAGATCTACTAATTCTTGATGGGAAATAGTCTAGGAAGAGTAATTATGGGATTTGAAACTCTTTATATATGGAATTCTTAATTCTTACAAGTAAACTTGCAGTTGTAGATTGTAATAGTAGTTAATAAATAATCTGAAGATTTGTTTGGTCTTTGGATGTCTGCTCTGTGCGAGTGGTCTCCGTTGCCGTCTCCGTGTGTTCTTCTACTTAAAGGTTTGAAATTTCCAAGTGGGAATCGTCAAATATCTGTGACTGGTGCGTTCCAGGCCAGGCCAAATGCTGATCTCGGGTGGGTCAATTATACCCGTAAATATTGCCCTGGGTCGAGCTCCCGAATCACTTTGTTTGGATATTGTGGGCTCTGTTTGGATTTCTCGATTTTTTAAAAATAATTTTTTCATATACAATGTTACAGTAACATACAAGTAATGTTATGTAAAATTGTTGACCAAAAATTTTTACATTTTATTAAAAATATTTTTCGATCATCTTTTTATCTCACATATATTAAATTATTATAATATATTTTCCTATAAAAAATCTTTAAAAATATCGATCTAAACAGAACATTATCCAATACTTTTGCAAGGTACTGCTTAGAGGATTGATGGATTTGGGAGAATCAAGTGTAGAAACTACCCTTCTCGTTTGGATTGTTATTTTCTGAAGTTTACATAAAAAAATATACTGCATTGATTTGATATATGTGAGATGAAAAGATAATTCAAAATTATGTTATAAAAAACGTAAAACATTTTTAGATGAAAAATTACAATCCAAACAAGGTTGTGCATTGATAATATGTACAATACATGCATGCATAAAATTTAGAATCCAAATTCAAATTCAAATTCTGCATATTATCAGGTATCTAAATTCACTAGTACATACATTGTTATATAAGAAATTATCGTTTGTATAAATATTGAAGAATACATTAGTTTGTATACATGGTTAGTTTTGTATGATAATAATTATAAGTAAACCCGTATACAAGATAGATAAAAACATATAGCGATGAATTATTAAATGAGCATCCAAATTTTTATTGTCTTTCTTTTGCATCGCCTTGAGGCCTAACAGTCAATTACAACAATGCCAAAGTTTGTTTTTGTCAGGGGGGGGGGGTGTAAAATGCCTGGATGCTTCAAGATACAACCAAACAATTATGGGAGGTGCCCATAAAAAATTGTAAGGTGTAGAGATTTCATCTGAGCCTAAAAAATGTTAAGAGCAGTTTGGATTGCCAATTACTTACAAAGTATTTTATAACATTAAAGCACATTTTCTAACTAATTTTTTATCTTCTTAATAATTAATTTATTTTATATACATCGTATTACAAAAAAGTACTACAATATTTTCTCAAATCCAAACACATTCTGTGACATCTAGTAACAAATTGGTGTAGCTTTGTTAAGATATCCATGCATAAGAGAGGGCTCAATGTTTGAATCCATCCTCCGGATCTTATTTGGGCTTTGTGTGTAGAAGCATACTGGGTCATATTAGCCTCAGATAGATCATGATCCAAAGAGGATACGCCGATCACCAGATCAAGAGGTTTTGGTTAGACATAGATAGGGTATGGACCTAATCACGGGCTTTGCCAAACTTGGAAACGGGCCATCGCAAACTTTATGACAGTTTTTGTTCAAGTGTCGTACATTAGACTCTGACCCATCGGACGTTTCCCATTCCTTTTACTATTTCTTTTTTTTTTTTTTGTTTTTGAAAGACACCATTAGTGATTGATGTTTATAAAAAAAACAAAAAACAAAAAACCCTTCATTAACACACAGATTAATTAGGACTGGAAATTATCCTGGACTAATCAAGAGGTGCCGAACGACCATGTTCAGAAAGCTAGGAGTAGGACAAGACAGTTTTCTAGACCAATCGAGACTGGCAGATTGAAAATTAGGCTAAAGATTTACGAAAGGAATATAAACCCTGAATGCTGTCCCACTCATACGAGGCAAGAGAAGCACAATAGATTAAAAACAATCAGTCTTAATCCAAGAAACCAAAAAATGGGATATAGCCATGACTGAGCAAAAATGAAATTGCAGCCAGGGTGGACCTGTCAATGGTTGGCCTCAAGGACTCGGGGCACGGACGGTTGCAGGTGCAACCGTCCCTGTCAATTGTAGTCATTATCAACTGATCGTAACTTTCTTTGTACATCGTGTAACTTTTTTTTCACAGGATGTATTTTCACAACAGATAGTGATGAGCCCCACACTTAGCGCGAAAATCGAGTTACATGGTGTAATATCAGCCGCACAAAATTTTGAGGACCAATCTTGGCCCTTAACCGTGCAGGGACGGTCATCTGCTCCAAATCCTGGCCTCAGTGTTGTAGCTTTACTAGCAGTTTACGTTAGTCAGCACATTTACAGATGGAGAAATCCCAAATGCAGCGGTGCCCTTCCTCCTGGTTCTATGGGCCTCCCCATGATTGGAGAATCCCTTCAGTTAGTACTCCCAAACGCTTCCGTAGACCTTCCACCGTTTTTGAAGAAGAGAATTAAGAGGTAATGTGACCATGGCCACCTTGTCCATTTAACCTATATGCTATATATGTTCTCAATTTCACCTTTCCACCAAAAAAAATTTACAAAAAATGTTTTTGAAATCCCAATATTGTACTGTCAATAAGTGGATCTTTTTTTTGTTTGATAAATTAGAAGTCAATATTGTAAATAAACTAAGAGAAAATTGTCTAATAACGATTTGTTTGACAAAAAAAAAAAATTGCACTAATGACAGAAAATAAGTGGTTCTCATATTAAGATCTCAAAATTGCACTAAGTCAGTAAATTCCAGGAGTGCACTGTTATTACAAAGGGTACAAGTTGTAGTTTAACCATATATACTAGTGAGTGGTTGTCACTTTTTATATAAGTTTTGAAATTGAAACACGAATATTTAATTCGGCTGTAATTAAACATTTTCTTGCTTCAGGTATGGTCCGATTTTCAAAACCAATGTTGCGGGCAGGCCTGTCATCATCACAGCAGACCCGGAATTCAACCATTTTCTCCTTCGCCAAGATGGAAAACTGGTTGATACATGGTCGATGGACACTTTTGCTGAAGTCTTTGATCAGGCTAGTCAGTCTTCCAAAAAGTATACCAGACACTTGACCTTGAGCCACTTTGGCGGTGGAATCCCTTAAAGAGAAGCTACTTCCGCAAATGGAAGATATGGTTTGCGAAACCCTTCGCAAATGGTCAAGTGAGGAATCAATTGAAGTGAAAGGAGCAGCGGTTACAGTTAGTATCGAACTCAATCATTTGCCTTGCATGACTAATACTTGGTTGCATGTACAAGAATTACATTTTGACATTTTCTTGCCTTGGCAGATGACAACCAATTTTGCTGCAAAACAGATCTTCAGCGGTGACCTTGAAAATGCACCGTTGAATATTAGTGAAATGTTCAAGGACTTGGTAGAAGGACTGATGTCCTTTCCTATCAACATCCCTGGGACTGCACATCACAAATGTTTACAGGTACCTAGCGTACTTTTCCTTGAACTACTACTACTACTCATTTTCTGCAGTGATCAACTAATACTAGTTGTCAAATTCTGACCCTGAAAATCCTTGTCAGATCCACAAGAAGGTCAGAAAAATGATGAAGGATGTGGTGCAAAAGAGGCTAGCAGCCCCTGAGAGAACTCAGGGAGACTTGCTTGACCACATCATCCAAGACATGGACACCGAGACATACATTAAAGAGGATTTCGTAGTACAGTTGATGTTTGGCCTGTTATTTGTCACCTCCGATTCTATTTCGACAACATTAGCTTTGGCATTCAAGTTGCTTGCTGAACATCCTGCAGTCTTGGAGGAATTAACTGTTAGTATCATATGCTGACTAATTTTAAGATAAGAAACCACGACAATATGGTCGCAAGAAAGCAATGCATAATAATGACGTTCATTTTACAGGCTGAGCACGAAGCGATCCTTAAAAAGAGGGAGAACTTGAACACCCCACTCACATGGAATGAATACAAATCTATGACCTTTACCCTTCAGGTACCACTGGCATTTGCAGAAATTTGCTGTTGAAAACACATTTTGGATCGCTTTTTTTGATAAAATTGATCTCAAACCGCAGGTTATCAATGAAGTTCTCAGGCTGGGGAACATTGCACCAGGGTTTTTCCGCAGAGCCCTGAAAGACATCCCTGTCAATGGTACGGTTGATTTTCAGTGATCCACATATTTTTTGTAAATGAAGTCCAACATTTTCCAACTGACATTTTCAAACATTACAAGCAACAGGATATACAATTCCAGAAGGCTGGGTGATTATGATCGCCACAGCAGCTCTACATTTGAATTCCAACCAATTTGAAGATCCCCTTGCCTTCAATCCATGGCGCTGGAAGGTCTTTCTTACATTAAACCAGCCTTTCCTGTCACAAAATGCAATTTGGAAGCACTTGATTAACAGAACTTTACTTTGAATTTGTATAGAACATCCAGCCAAGTGTTGTATCAAAATGTTTTATGCCATTCGGGTCAGGCATGAAGCAGTGTGCAGGAGCTGAGTACAGCAGGGTGTTGTTGGCTACCTTCCTACATGTCTTGGTCACAAAATATAGGTACTTTTCTCCGGGCTACTCCTTGCACAAACTGCAAATTGGCGCAGTGCAGATATTCATTTATTCCATCGATGAACTAAAATTCAACACATGTTACATTCTGAAGAAGAATATTTATTTATTTTTGGCAGATGGGCTATGGTCAAGGGAGGAAAGATCGTCCGAGCTCCTATCATAAGGTTTCCTGATGGATTTCATTTCAAAATCTCAGAGAAGAGCAACTAATGAACTTTCTTTATTCAACTCTTCAATCCTAGGCACTTGCTCAATAAGCAAGGGCATCCGGATCAATCAATCCAGTTCCATTAAATTCCTGTAATAAGTTGCCGCTGTATAGGCTTTCCTTCAATCATTACCTTGATGTACCACGCAATCTCGTTGATTATTGTAATTATCGATCAAATTTAGAAATGCTAAAATTGTTTCCTTTTAGACAGCGAAAACTAGTTTTTTTTTTTTAAGTTTAAATTTAAATTCTGTAATCAGGGGTGACAAGAATGACAAGTCAAGCAAACAAGACTAGTTTTAAATCTTTTTGCTTGCAAAATGTTCAAGACTAACAAATCGTATTTCAAGTTTTCAACTCAATGGCTGTCCAATGCAGCAGCAAAGAATTTGTATTTTCCTGTGCAAAGTCAATGGGTTCATGCTCATGATATACGGCAGGCTTGACAAACTTCGGCTGCAATGATTCCATCAATAAATTACAAACCATATAAAGTTAAATATCACAAATGAATTACGTGGTTTTACTAAATATGGCGGCTACACAAGCTGACTTTTCCAACCAAATCCAGTGTCGGTAAAAGTCAGGGATTTGCAGAATCTTGATTATATCTTGCACCCTTTATGAGTGTCCTCTTTTCCAAGCGTCTTTCTCGACATGGTCACTTTTAGGACCTTCCCGTACACGAATAAGTCAAAGTTGCGATAATGCTTCTCCAATTTAAGTTTCTATTAATATGGCAATGCTTATCAATTAGGCTTATCTTTTTTTTTTTTTATGCATCTTTTACAAACTGTAGTGACGGTAAGAAATCAAACTGTTTTTGTTACCTTCTAAACTTGCGGTGCATTTGATAAAAATAAAGTTTGAAAATTAAAATCTGAAATTAAAATTTATTAAGTTAGTGAATTATTACGTACTAAATTTGATATATTCGATTGTATATCACATTAATTGATAAGTTAATAATTTATTACTTTTTCTTTGGAGCATATTTTGTCTAAAAAATTCAGTATCATTTAATAAAATTCAAATGTTCCAGTTTCGATTATCAAACGAGTTTGAATATATTAAAATGTAAACTCATTAAATTTAAGTGCTCAATTGAATTATCAAATAAGAATTTAGACAAAGTAAAATGTTTTTATCGGCCATTCTCATATATGATCATCGATCAAGCGTCTGAGCATATACATATATTTTTTTTAAGTAGAAACTCTCAAATTTAAAACTGATTTCTTAAACTATATAAGAATGAGTTTGGGTGAAAGAATAGCTTTGAATTTCAATCGCAAGAGTAGGGGTATTTTGGGATTGTGAGGTTGTTTTGAATGTAATTATAGTATTGGGTACTACTTTAGAAAGCATATGTATTATTGTGTTTACTGAGATGTCCTTGTATTCTAAAAGATGCAATGATGATTTGTTCAAAAGTTTGAGTCGTTTGGAAATGTAAGATTATTTAGTCATCTTTTTTACAATGGCTACAACCCATAATAGTTTCTTTATTGGTGTAATTACTTAAATGTCATTGCAGAGACATTCATTTTGGTTTGTATCAATTATTACTGTTACTTTGCTATTATAACTTGAAGAACTTCAAACGTCATTTTTATTTCAATTAAAGTAAGGGCAATGTGATTTATTAAGGAATTTATGATTGAGCATTAGTTTCAACTTCAATTTTTCAAATGTCTGCTCCTTCACATTCTTCCATTATGTCCTTTTCGTCTTCCAGTAAATACTTATTTGTATTGTCATTGTACTCTGAATTTCAATATGGTTCTCTGGTGAAGCTATTCTTGGTGGTTCAACTTAAGGTGAGGTTTCATTCTTTTTTTTAATGGTATGATTTGCTTTGTAAAATCGTAATTTCTATTGTCAGTTAAATGCTTTCATTCCAAAATTGGATACTTTGTTAGCGCAATTTAATGTTGATATCATTGTTTCCCCACAAAGTTGGTTATTCTATACAATTTAAATGATGTGATTTTGTTGGAATAGGTTTGGAGATACAAAACTTTCTCTTTTGGTCTACTTACATGGTGGAGGCTGTTTGATCAAATCTGCATACTCTTCTATATATCACGCGCACCTTAATGTAGTAGTTGCAGAAGCTGGTGGTGTAACAGTTTCAATTAACTATCGGCTCGCCCCTGAGCATCATTTGCCTATTGCTTATGAAGATTCTCAAATTATAGTCAAATGGGCTGCCCCTCATTCAAATGGCGAGGGTCCTGAGGTATGGCTTAGGGATTATGCTGGTTTTGATAGGGTGTTTTTTGGTGGGGATAGTGCTGGTGACAATTTAGTACATAACATGGCATCAAGGGTTTGGCGGAAGATGCTAGATGACTTCAATCTTGATGTGATTTTTCTCAATTGTCCTTATTTTTGGGGGAAAGATCTAATTAGTATTGAGTTAACGAAATTACGGGCGAATGCCTATGTTAAGGGCATTTGGTATTATGTTAATCCAAAATCTACGGGAGTTGATGATCCATTGTTGAATTCTCTAATGGAACCAAACATTTCGAGGCTAGACTTTGTCGTTGCTAAAAAAGTTGGCTACTTTCATCAACAAGAATATTGTGTAGATGCATCTTTAAGTGGATAATCACTTTGTTTATTGCCATTTTCTGAATCGTTTCGGTATCTGTTTAAAGTTCATTTAGTTTTGTTAATGAAAAACTCATATACAAGTGTTTGTTTCAAAATATATGAACCAAGCAAGATAGCATGCATAATTTCCTTCTCCATCTCCCAGTATACATTATATATTTTGTTACTTCATATTGTTACTCAATATGCGTGAATTTTTTGATATTCACTTGAACTACCGTAAAATTTTCTTTAATCATAGGCATCAAACACTCGCGTGATGCGCGGCCATTCCCCTCTTAGTACTTAAAATTTTTTACACTTTACTATCCGACCTAATCCTCCCCGTCATCCATTCGAACATTTAGAAACCTTGAATTTTGCATTTATTGGTATAGAAAGAAACATATTTAAAAATATAAATACGCTAATCAGTAAGTACATGGATTAACATTTAGGGGTAAAGGTCACGGTGTTGACAGGAATCAAAGGCTATAGTTGAAAATTGAGCACGCACTTCAAGGATTTTGAATGTTGACACTTAGTAAAGGATTCGTATTTGTTCACAAATAAAGCAGTCAATGCATAATCCTTTTCTTTATTGTCCCCCAAATACATTGATGTATAGACAAAAAAAGGTGGTTGGGTACTTTGCACGTGGCGCGTATGATTTTTGACCTTAGCAATTTACTATAATGCTGTCCACTGTACTTTGCTTGCTTTGCATCATCCAAAAGAAACATCCCAGAAATTCAATGGAAGAAGAGAGCCCAGAAAATACCGTATATGATATAGCTGCGTGGCCAACTAAAAATTGAAATCATTATTAGCCATGAAAAATTTTTCATCAAAATTGACAGTTTAAGTCTTGATAAAAAATTCTTCTATCACTCCTCAGTTTTCATACTGCTTAGTGAGCAGCGCTGTGGCGGCCTCACATAGATTATTCTGGATCTGGATGGAGAGTAGGAAAGAGAATTAAGGAGACAAAATGCAAGCCTGATAGGGACCCTTCTGCTTTTCTTTCCTGCTTTTCAAATTGAAAACGAGCATTTGGAAATTGGAAACCATGTTTAGCAACGTCACAAAGTATAGAAAGACCATTATAGTCAATTTTAGCACGTTTACAAAACTTCACAGTAACATTAATTAAACTGAGGCTCTTCTGATCATCTCCCTTACTGCGTGTCTGTGTGAAGACTGAAGAGGAGAGAGCGATATCAGCTATGGTGAGGGTTCCTTGCTGCGAGAAGATGGGGTTGAAAAAAGGGCCATGGACTCCCGAGGAAGATCAAATACTGGTATCTTTCGTTCAACACTATGGCCATGAAAATTGGAGGGCACTTCCCAAACAGGCTGGTAAGTGTCATAATTTCCTACTGCAGACTTCAGCTTATAACAAATCCAGTTTATGAAAGTAACCGTGATCAACATAACGTTGTGAGTCTGTTCTATGGGAAATTTCCATTCTTTTGAGCTGTACATTCTTGCACAAGCATTTATTGGAGAAGTACAGAATTTCGTTTTCGAGCTTACTCCATATTTGAAACACTATCCAGGCTTATTAAGGTGCGGAAAGAGTTGCAGACTCCGATGGACGAATTACTTGAGGCCCGATATTAAGCGGGGAAATTTTAGCAAAGAAGAAGAAGAAACCATCATTAAGCTTCATCAAATAATGGGAAACAGGTATTTGGAAATTTATTACAACCATCTCAGAGTATGGATTATATTGTGCTATTAAGTTTAATTAATTGAATTTGTACATAATTCTTAATTACTCCTATATTTAGTACTGTAAGTAGTCTCTTAATTTGTATCTTTATATATTTTTAAAAAGTTAATGAGAAAGAACAATTGCTAGCACTAATGTGCATCAGATACCCTGATTATGCATGCAAAATTGCAAACCTTTGTGAACAGTGACTGCGCGAAATCAATATGTGAAAATAGAAATTAAGAAATTGATACTCGGAACTGTATAAACTCTTTATACATAATATGTTTTTCTTTCTTTTTTTTTTTCACTTGCAAATAAATGCTTTCTTTTCTTCCCCAGATGGTCTGCTATTGCTAATAGATTGCCTGGACGAACAGACAATGAGATAAAAAATTACTGGAACACTCACTTGAAAAAGAGGGTTCATCAGGACGCCGTCGGGCAAAAAGATTTGCGACAACTACAAACAAATTTATGGAGATCAAATAGTCAGGGAACACCTGAGTCTGGGGAAGCATCAAATCATCCTGGTTCAGAGGGCAACGGTGATGTTCAAAACTTTACAGGAAGTATTCATGAAAATTTCTCCAGCTTAGACTACAGTATATCTGCACCGGGGCCAGCTAGAGTTCTTGCAGAAACTAATTTGAAACAATCGGCCAAAGATTCTTCCAAGACTAACAAATATCTGGGTCCTGCCTCAGACTCAAGGCTTCAGTTTCTATCCACTGGAGAATCTAATATTGAACCTGGGGAAGATAGTATCAAGGAAGACATGGTTTTCTGGTACAACCTCCTTTTGATTGCTGGAAAATCACAGGAGAAATTTGCACAGATTGTGTGATAAACATTTTTCCTATTTGTACCTAGGGTAAAAAATTTTTGACAGTTCAAGTTTCTTGACATGGTTGCATATAAGAAAAAGAAATAAAGAATTTGGTTGTGTGGTGTGTACAATGAGCTTAATTAAAGGGAAATAAAATATCACCCTTGTAATTTGAGTTCATTCTTCAAGCAAGAAAAATAATCTTGTAAGCTCTAATTTCTTGAAACTTTTAATGCCAAATTTGAGTTCACTCCTTGTACGCCAAATATGCATTACCCTCTTGCCAAAGCATGATTAGCGCAATATTAACTTCGTAATTTCTGAATCAAGAGTACCTACTGTTGACCGCCTTAGGAGTCCAGAGACATTGAGATAGAATATGCTATATGTGGGCTTTCAGTGGAAATATTGTCATCCCGAGTGTTTCTCTCTATTTTAGCAAAAGTGTGTGTTTTTCTCTTCAAAGACTGAAATGGGGCATGCCACCTTCTGGTAACTTTTTTTAGTACAGTATAAACTATAAAGGGTGTCAACTATTATGAGTCCTTAATTCGGCTGTGGTTTCATGACTATGATGTGCATGTCTATGTATATCTAACGTGAAAACCTACTAATCTTGGAAATTAGAAATTAACTAAGCCTTCTTACAACTAAATCACCCAAAACTTGGCGTGTGTATATACGTATTAGAAGTGAAAATTACAAGTTATGAGCTCAGTTGTTACCTTAACAAGGGATCTACTTCACACTTTTAAGTCACCTTACCAAGCAAAGCCCACCATAAATGATGAATGAAGGTCTATAAGGTTCCCTTCTCCGTTTTACTTATCATTTGAAAGTTTCAAGTTTTGAATAGAAAACCTCTTGATTTGTTTTTGCCTTCTAGCTTAAAAAGCAACGTAGGAAACACTCACTCAAGAGGGTAGATGCAGGTTCCAAGAAATTTATATTGTCAATGGATTGTGCTAAATACATCATGTTACGAGAAATTTATATTATGCACAGCCTTAACGTTCAGCAGCTTTAGCTATGCTAGCCTTAATTTCAGTCATATTTCACTTTCACCAGTGAGACAAAAGATGCAGTCATAAGTTTGTCGGTGCTGAAACACAAACCTAACAAAATGACCTTTGAAAATAATTAAACTGTTTTGTCTTCAAGTGCACATTGAATACTGTAAATGCTCCGAGTTCCGACATCTCTAATTCATGTATTGAACCATCGACTGTTCGATCATATATAACTATTACATCCAGGACACTGTGTCTGTAATTATTTGCACGACTTGAAACAGCTGGGCGTGACAACACGAGACCGCTTAAAGCTCAAAGCCACAAGAAATCATGCAGAAATGTACGAATTACACCAATTCGACGCGTATCCATGCAAAATGTGAGGTAACCTCTCCGGCAGGTGCCAATTCCCATTGCAAGTGTCACATTTTAGCCATCCTTCCTCGCCTATAAATTCATACCCTTCGCACCATGCAAAATCATACCATCAAGAAACAACAATATCATCAAACTAGCTATATCTAGCCATAGAAATGGCAGGCTCATCTTTGCAAGTTCTTGCTCTTTGCCTTCTTGTTTTATCCCCAAGCTGCTTAGCTTCTAGGCTATCTCAAGGCGGACACCAGCACCAACAAGGCCAGTTTGGCATCGGCCTAGGCGAATGCAATCTCCAGAATCTGAGCCCACAAGAACCCTGTCGCCGCTTACAGCATGAAGCTGGTTACACTGAAATCTGGGATCCGAACAGCTGAGGTGTGCGGGAGTCTCTGCAATACGTCATGTGATCGAGCCTCAAAGCCTCCTTCTGCCGTCCTTCAACAACGCACCAGCGCTAGTCTTCGTTATCCAAGGCTAATCACCTAGTCCTTTCCATAATTTAGCGTGCATGCATGCATGAATGAATTTTTATAGTTTATTATCGTATCCATATCATTTGTAGTACTAACCAACCACGTACTGTTTTGGTTCATTATTGCTAGGTAATGGCGTACTTGGAACGCTGTTATCCGGTTGCCCAGAGACCTTCCAATCATTCCAGCAATCCCAACAGAGAAGTCAATGCCTTGCCTGCTGAAGTTGCCCACTGGGCATACAACAAGACAATGAGGATCTTGTTCTCGTTGTAATCCATGACATTAGCGATTTCGAAAACCACCTCGACCAAAACCTAAGGGTTAGAAATTGGTCAACACTATATTAGAACAACTAACAAAGAGCAATTACAATTTCTCGGGTTCTCCAAATTAAACTCTAATATGTCCTTGGCTTATTGTTTCGTAGAGGTTTTTCCTTGCTGGCAACCCAAAACAACAAGAAGAAGAAGGAGGAATCTGGCAGGGCAAACAATCACAACAGCAGCAGCACTACCAAGGCTACATTATCTTCCAGGGATTTGAAGTACAGATTTTGGCTCAGGCTTTCGGCATAAGCCAAGAGACCGCCAGAAAGCTACAAAACGAGAATGACTGGAGAGGAGACGTCGTGAGAGTTAAAAACGAGCTCCATGTACAAAGGCCAAGGGCAGAATAGCAAGAACAAACAGGATTCTTCAAGGCCGATAATGGCTTGGAAGGGACCATTTGTACCATGAGGGTTCGGGAAAATCTTGCAAATCCTGAAAGAGCAGATGTATACACAGCTCGTGGTGGAAGCATAAGCTCTCTCAACAGCATGAACCTTCCCATTTTGAAATACCTCCAACTGAGCGCTGGCAGAGGATTCCTCCGCCCCAATGCCATGGTTGCACCTCACTGGAACATAAATGCTCACAGCATAAGCTATATCAGCAGAGGAAATGGCCGTGTACAGATCGTTGGAAGTTCTCGAAGAGCGGTTTATGATGGAGAAGTACGACAAGGGCAGCTTCTGATCATCCCACAAAACTTTGCACATGTAAAAATTGCTGGAACCGAAGGACTTGAATGGTTCAATGTGAAGACCAACGACAATGCCAAGACTAGTCCTCTCGCAGGGAAAAGATCTGTAATTCGGGCCATGCCGGAGGATGTGCTGATTAATTCTTATCAGCTCTCCAGGGTGGAAGCAAGAAGGATTAAGTATAATAGGAAAGAAGTGACGATTCTCAGCCCGCAATTTTCTCAGTCTCAGCAAGCAGGATCTTCTTGGTCCATTGTCTAAATTAACAAGTTTTGTTCCGAGTGCTGATATTTATGCATCTTGTCTAGCTATGTACTATGAGAATAAGTCTCTCGTGTATCCCTCGATGGAGGGGTGAGCTGAGTGACGTACCCTGCCACTAATACTTGGATAACTTATATAATCTATTGTCTAAGGCAATTGAAAATTTCCCAGTTTGTTTTCTCCCGCAAGGAAATAACATTTGGTAATTTGTCGCACCAACATAACTGAAGCTGTTTTATTAAGACCTCAAGTTTGGAAGGAGAGATACGTTAGATCAAAGGGAAAAAGGAAAAAAATGGAAAAACAGCAAAGAGTTCAAGAACAAATGAAAAGTTAAGGATGGTTTTGTAACTTTTGTTATGCTTCACTAGAATTGGACAGGCAACCAAAAATTTACCTTGGAAATTAAGGTGTTGGGCTACAAATGCTTAGGATTCGTGCTGAAGGAGATTATTGTGGTTTTTACAATTTTTTGCCCTTCTCTTTTAGTTAGAGATTATTCGTGCTGAGGTCATAATATCACTAAGAATTCGTTAGTTTAGAGTAAAATGTATAAAATCTTGGTCTTGAATTTGTAAATGGATTTGTCTAATTTAGACATTCATCGGTCAACTGAGAATAAAGAAGTATGCACTTTCTTGCGTTAGATTCTATGCCTTAGAGGGGAGTAAAATAAGGAAAATTGGTGATAGATTGATGAGGATGTTTGCCGATAAAACAAGAATTTAAAAAAAATTAAAGAACAGGATTATGTTAGTATTAAGATTTGTCGGATGGGCCACGGCCCACACAACTATCCTTCTTGATCTTTTGTTTTGGACAGCTTTTGACCAAAACAGATGTTACATTAAAACAGCACCGATGATCACCAGTTATCGTTCACGGTGGGACTCGAACCCACAATCTCCCGCTCCGGAGGCGAGCGCCTTATCCATTAGGCCACGCGAACGTCTTGTATTCTGCGCGTCTCGGTTGCTACTAAATCACTAAAGAAGCAACCTCTGCAACCGACTCGCCGGCTAACGGCTTCCGTTAAGTCTCGACCACGTCAAAACACTACAAACCCCTACACAAAACCCTGACCCAATCTTTTTGAACATTTGGCCTTCGAAGCTTTGAATCAAAACATAGATTAGATACACTTTAGTCTTAGGATTCAGGAACCAATTCCGATGGCTTTAACGATATCTTCAAGCTTAGTTCAATGTCCCAAACCATCTCTTTTTTCTCCCAAAAATTATCTTCTCAGAAGTTCAGCTCCACTCTGCAGAATTATCCCTTCCAACAATCTCAGGTAATTTCTCCAAATTCAGTCAACTTACTTCTGCCACTATTTTGGGTCATTTCTATTGTCTGCCCGAGAAAAGAAACTTCACGGCATATTTTAAGCTCTCGAATTGACGGTGGATGTATAGAAGCAAATAAACAAGCAATGCAGAGCAGGCTTGTTGAGGAAGCTTTAATTGGACTCTTTGACTTCGATTTCTACGTTCATTTTATCGTCTTACCTAGCCAAGTGGAGGGCTAGACTCAAATGTGCACATGTATCGGAGAACAAATAAGAATATATATATATATATATATATATATATATATATTTTGGGCAGAGTGGATGTTTTGTTGAGTTTTGATTGTGCAATCATTATTCAATTTTGCTGCTTTTGAAGGAAACGAAAGTAAATTTTCGTTCCATTTTCTGTATTTGCAATTGACTGTGGCATCAGAATGTTCAACTTACAGGTTTCCTAGAATATACAAGGTCGGTAAATTTATGGTTCAAGCTGCATCATCTGCTGCTGGGAGTCCAAGTAATGACTTTAATCCCTACGAGGTATGAACCTGCTATTACTCTAATGTGTAGATATTGAAGTAAGTGGTTCTCTTATCAATGGTTGTCAGGTATATGTGTATTGTATAGGTTCTTGGTGTAAGCCCCATTGAGGGATTTGACATGGTTAAGGCAGCATATGCGAAGAAAAAGAAGGATGCTGAGAAGAGAGGTGATGAGGCAACTGCAACTGAGGTGTGTTTCAATTCCCCCAAGTCTTCACATTATGTTGTATACTTTGGTTAGGCATTGTTATATTTGGCACGATGGATATTTATGGTTG